TTTTAATTAAAGTAATATGATGTCCCANGAATAATTCTCCTGTGTATGTTGATGATGAAATTAGTAATTGGAGTAGATTTTAATTAAAGTAATATGATGTCCCAGGTAGTTTTTGTTTTTATTAAATGTCGAACTTGATGAGTTCATTTAAAAATTTGTTAGTTATGTAATAATAGTCAAATATGATTCAAATTTAATTCAAATTATTACTGAAGAACATAACTTCTGAACTGATAGATTCCAAAAAATATGTGATTTAAAAAAAATTATTCATCATCTGAATTCCTTAAAATATTCAGTGTATCTGTTTGTAGTTATTTCGGATCTTTCCACAGATCATTTTGTATGTTTTCGAGCAAATATTGATCCAGCCTTTGTAAATAAGAAGTTTAATTTTGACCTTTTCAAAGTCTTTCATCTGTTGTGTGCATCTGAAATTATTTATGATGTTTTCATAACTCAATGAAGAATTAATATTTTCCTAATCACAATCAAATGAAGGTCAGTACAGTTTATTTTTAGATAGTTCAAAATTGTATTGATTTTATTCATAATTCATCTAGTCAGTTTCCATTGCATTAAATAAACACGATAGAATGTTAATTATTGTAAAATTTCCGATTTTGAAGTTTATAATAAGGATAATTTATCATCAACAATTCTAAAGTTTGGCAAGATTTATTCTATATAATTCAGGGAATTTGAATTACAACTCACTGATAAAATTCGTAGTAGAGCATGTATCGAGCAAGCCTCTGCATTGCAAAACAGTATATATACAACTCTAGAACCCCTAAAAAAATTAATTCTTCTGCTGTGTTTGTTCTTTCGAAATGCCCTGAATGATTTGCATTTTAAATGTTGTTGAATGTTTATGTTGTTGGCAATTAGTGTTTTTATCTCTAATTCATACCAAAATATTTTTATATAAACCGGCAGATTTTTTCAACAAGGTTCTCCATTCAATGTATCAGTCTATTTTTATTTGTGTAACTTGTAACGTGGAGTGTTTGAACAATTAGATAACAAAATTGATAAAACATACATATTGCATACATAATACAGGCATATATGGAAATGTGACATGGGATGCAGTGCCGGATTGAGATGAGAAGCATTATTAAAGGTCTATCTTTACTATTTCTCAGTT